AACTACCCCTCTGACCCCCCAAACATCCCCCAGTGCCCCCAAACCCCTCCCTGTTCCCCCCTGCCCCACAGGTACATCGTGTTTGAGGGCGAGGAGGGGCAGGATGTGGGGGGACTGCCCCCCCAATCCCCTCCGAATTCCTCCTGCCGCCCTGTAACTCCCCCCTGCCCCCCAGGTACATCGTGTTCGAGGGCGAGGAGGGGCAGGACGCGGGGGGGCTGCTGCGGGAGTGGTACATGATCATCTCGCGGGAGATGTTCAACCCCATGTACGCCCTGTTCCGCACGTCCCCCGGCGACCGCGTCACCTACACCATCAACCCCTCGTCCCACTGCAACCCCAACCACCTGAGCTACTTCAAGTTCGTGGGCAGGATCGTGGCCAAGGCCGTCTACGACAACCGGCTGCTCGAGTGCTACTTCACCCGCTCCTTCTACAAGCACATCCTGGGCAAGTCTGTGCGGTAAGGGCTGGACCCCTGTGAGGGGGAGACAAGTTATGGGGTGTGCAACAGTGTTATGGGGTGTGCAGCGGTGTTATGGGGTGTGCAGCGGTGTTATGGGGTGTGCAGCGGTGTTATGGGGTGTGCAGCGGTGTTATGGGGTGTACAACTACATTACAGGGTATACAACCGTACTATGGGGTGCACAGCCATGCTATGGGATGATAACCAAGCTGGGGGGGGTGGGGAACACCTGCATAGGGTGGGGAAAACCCTGCTTGGGATGTGAAACCAACTTCATGGGGCGATGGACTCCCTGCATGGGGTGGGGGGAACATCATTCATGGGGTGCTGAGCCACCTTGATGGGACGCTGGACCCCCTTCGTGGAGTGGGGAACCAACTCCATGGGGCATGGAACCACCTCTGTGGTGCGTTGGACCCCCTGTCCTGGGGGGATGAACACCCTTTTTGCAGTGCTGGACCCCCTTTATGGGGTGGGAAACCGCCTTTATGGAGTGTTGAACCCCTTTATGGGGTGCTGCTCCTCCCTCTGTTGCACCCCCAGGGTGCAGGCCCCCTCCCATGGGGGGCTGAACTCCCTGGAAAGGGGGTTGAAACCCCCTTTTTTGGCTCTTGAAGTTCCTCCAGAGGGTGTCAAACACCCGTTTTTGGGGTGCTGACCCTCTTTTTTCAGGTATTGACCCCTTTCTGTGGTGCTGACTCCCATTTTTGGGGCGCTGCCCCCCCCTTTCCCCCCAGGTACACAGACATGGAGAGCGAGGATTATCACTTCTACCAGGGCCTGGTTTACCTGCTGGAGAATGACGTGTCCACCCTGGGCTACGACCTCACCTTCAGCACTGAGGTGGGGACCCCCTAGGAACCCCCCACAGGGTTAAAAAAACAGCATTGGAGACCCCCTCAAAACCTCTATCGGGGACCCCCAGCTCCCCTGGGCTGTTTTTGGGGGGAACTGTGTCCTCCCTTCCTGGGGTGGTCCCCTCTGTCCCTGGGGTGTCCCCCTGGATTTCAGGCGTCCTCTCTGTCCCAGCTGTCACCTCTGCCCCAGGGGTGTTCCCCCAGGTTTAGGGGTGCCCCTCCATCCCAGGAGGGTCCCCCCCTGCTCCAGAGGTGTCCCCACTTTCCTGGTCTTGGGGTGTCCCCTCACTCTGCACCCCCCAGGGGTGTCACAGCCCCCCCCTCACATCCTGGTGATGTGTCCCCCAGCCCTGTAACCCCCCGTGCCCCCCCAGGTGCAGGAATTCGGGGTGTTTGAGGTTCAGGGATGTCCCCCCAAGCCCTGTAACCCCCTGTGCCCCCCCAGGTGCAGGAATTCGGGGTGTGCGAGGTCCGGGACCTGAAGCCCAACGGGGCCAACGTGCTGGTGACGGAGGAGAACAAGAAGGAATACGTGCACCTCGTGTGCCAGATGCGCATGACCGGTGAGGGGGGTCCCTGGGGGGCAGAGGGGGATCCTTGGGGGGCACAGGGGGGTCCTGGGGGTGCTGGTGGTGGAGGAGAACCAGAAGGAATACGATGCCCATGACCAGTGAGTGGGGGGTCTCTTTGTTTGCTAAAATGTGTAAGTAGTTGTCACTCTTGAAATTATTAGTTAATGTTATATTAATGTAATTATTTTTAATGTTAAAAGCTACCAAAATAGCATGAGTCATTATTTTTAAATTGCTGATGTAATTACAGAGGAATGAAGAGAAAGGCATAATTTGTGTAGCCAGTGAGCACCACATCGCTTTCTTTGCTAAAAAATAGTGAAAAATGTCAATTTGTCAATTAATAATAATGCCAATTATGATATAATATATCTTGATAGTATCAATAATATAATATACGGCAAAATAGTGTAATATATATCAACTAATATATATAGTTAATATACACTAATATATTAATATGTATAATTATATATTTATCAGTATTAGTATTATGGAATTTATTCATATGTAATAAGTATACTGTACCTATAACGTGATAATGTTAATATACATTAAGATAGTAATTTTATTAATGTCATTGCTAATATATTTGTAATATATAGTAATATGTGTTTACAAAATATAGTATATATTTATAATAGAATCTAATGTTTATATTTATAATAATTTTATATTGTGTTTATATTTATGATCTATGTATTTATAATATATACTCATACAATTAATTATTAATCATTATGTTAAAAGCTTTGATACCTTCGAATCGTGGGGGGATCCCCAGGTACCTCCTGACCAAAGTGACATTACCATTCCCAGCTGTGGTCTGGGGGGGTCATTCCCCATTCCCTGCCCCCCCTGACTCCCAATTTCCCCCCCCAGGGGCCATCCGGAAGCAGCTGGCGGCGTTCCTGGAGGGATTCTACGAGATCATCCCCAAGCGCCTCATCTCCATCTTCACGGAGCAGGAGCTGGAGCTGCTCATCTCGGGGCTGCCCACCATCGACATCGACGACCTCAAGGCCAACACCGAGTACCACAAGTACCAGGGCAACTCCATCCAGGTGGGATTGGCTCCCCAGACCCCCTTCCTGGGGTTATTTTGGGGTAATTTCATGGGTCTCATGGTACCAGAGGTACCAGGGCAGCTCCATCCAGGTGGGTTTGCCCCCCCAGGGTGGTTCTGGGGGTGATCCTGGGGGTCTCATGGTACCAGGTCAGCCCCATCCAGGTGGGTTTTTCCCCCTGGGTGTGGTTCTGGGGGTCTGACCTTGCCCCTTCCCCCCCAGATCCAGTGGTTCTGGCGGGCCCTGCGCTCCTTCGACCAGGCCGACCGCGCCAAGTTCCTGCAGTTCGTGACGGGCACGTCCAAGGTGCCCCTGCAGGGATTCGCCGCCCTCGAGGGCATGAACGGCATCCAGAAGTTCCAAATCCACCGGGATGACCGGTCCACGGACAGACTGCCCTCGGCCCACACGTGGTGAGGGGACAGGGGGGACACTGAGGGACATGGGGACACTGAGGGACATAACTGACTGCCTTTGGTCCACACGTGGTGAGGGGACAGGGGGGAGGACACAGGGGGGGATGGTAGGGGACAGCAGGAGGTGGGGGACACAGGTGAGGGGACACAGGGCCAGGTCACCGGGGTGGGGACAGAGGGACACCAGCACACACAGGGGAGGTGGCACTGGGGGACAGGGACACCAGGCTGGGTCACTGGGTGGGATGGGGACACAGGAACACACAGGGAGGTGACACAGAGACTGCCCTGGGGGCACAGCGACCCTCAAGAGGACCCTTGGGTGGGGTGGGGGGGATGTGACAATGTCAGGGGCCCTGTGCGTGTCCCCTGCCCCCGTGTGACCCCCCTGTGTCCCCCCAGCTTCAACCAGCTGGACCTGCCGGCCTACGAGAGCTACGAGAAGCTGCGGCACATGCTGCTCTTGGCCATCCAGGAGTGCTCCGAGGGCTTTGGGCTGGCCTAGGGGGGCTTAGGCCTGGCCTAGGGGGGGGTCCCAACCCACCCCCGGGGGCTTCGGGCTGGACTGGGGGGAGTCTGAACTCTCTGGAGGGGCTTTGGCCTGACCTGGGAGGGCTCCAGCCTGGCCTGGGAACGTTCAAGCCTGGCCTGGGAGGGCTCCAGCCTGGCCTAGGAAGGTTCA